TATACATGGGCTTCTTCGTATATGGCCCACTTCAGTTGAGCCGACCCAACTCTAAGATTTTATGATTAAACCCAACTTTGTTCTACTAGTCTCTTCTGTTTTTTTTGTCATTTTTAGCTAATCTTAGGTTAAGATATATACTACTCCAACTTTTTTTTTTTTTGGGTCAAATGTACTACTCCAGCTTACTTTATGTGTTTACAAACAACAATGATCGCAACCTGTTGTTGGACTTGCCCAATATACTTTCTTCGTATAGAGTTAAATATCATTATTCTTCTTAGCTAGGGTTTAGCTATTTTTTTACTTTTTTTTATGAAATAGTTAAAATAACTTTATTTATTTTTTTATTACTGAAGTAATTTATTCGAATTTTTTTTTCTTCATAATTCCAAAATTATCTTTCTCACACATTGGTAGACTTTGTTAAGATATATACCTAACAACATTTTACAAAACTTTTAAAGTATCTATTTAGAAAAACGCATAATCTAGACTATGCTTAGATATTTTCAAACTCTTTTGAATATGCCAAGATATTTACACACACTACTAAAAACGTATGTCGAATTGACAGACTATAACGAGATTTTGACAAGACTTTTCCAAAAAAAAGTAGACTTAAAAAAAAAAAAATCCTGCAAGGACATTGACAAACTTGTACAGTTTTTTTGTGTTTTGTTAATAATGGTTCAAAAATTTGATTTCTATTTCGAATTCGATCCGCTCAGAAGCCATCCTCTAGACTCCAGCCCAAGAGCCGATTGAGCCCCTACGGAGATTTCAAAACGGCAGAGTTTTGTCTACATGCTCAGGAGCCAAACAAGCCTTAGCCCATTACAAATGTATGTCGAATTGACAGACTATAACGAGATTTTGACAAGATTTTTCCAAAAAAAAGTAGACTTAAAAAAGTAGATTTTGCTGGGGCGAGCTCGTCGGACCCCTTCCTTCAGGGCCGAGCTCGTCGCGCTCCATTTTGCTGGGCCGAGTTCGTGGGTCCTTCTGTTCGCTGGGCTTTTTTCGGAATTGGGCTTCAAAGATGACAATATTTGAAGCCCATGCCCAACAGTGGTCGTTTCAATTAAACTCAACCATGCTGCATCTCCTGAGCCTAGTTTCAAGCTGTCATTGTGAACCGTTGACAGATTTTCTTCTAAGAGTAAGAAATAGGCAGTTATTATTGTTAACACCACTGTTTTCGTTGATTGGTCTTAAAGGAGTAGTCTAGTGACTCAATCTTTCTTGTCGGTGTCGGTTGAAATCCTACAGAAAGCCTTTTTTCTAGAGGAGTGGTTGAGAAGATTGTGTGTGGCATTAAAGGAGGAAGACAATGCGTCTGGAGCAAGCGGCACAAGCACTACAGGCGAGAAACAGAAGAAAGAGTTGATCTCTAGAGCTATACGGTCACTTGCCACAAGCTTAGGGGATGGACATAGCCGTGAAATGGCTGTACAGTTGCAGGAGTTAGATAGCAATGTGAATTGACTAAGCAGGCTATGCTTTTCGGGTTAACTTGGCCCTGTAATTTACACTCAAGTGAATGTAAACAATCCAATACATGTACATTAGCTCCCATGACAAATTTTGCTGAGTTACTTTGATAGAGTAACCAATGTTCTATAGATTTAGTATGTTATGATGTTATTACTAAAAGAGTGAACGAAATGTGTAGTGAAAGTTAAAGTGATTCAACCATTTTCCGGGGTAAATTGTCTTTAAGGAATCCAACTATCATAAAACTACGATTTAAAAAAATGGAAGCTAGATACTCATAAAACATAGGTGTTAACCAACTAATTCTCCATGCTTGACTGGCGACGGCGGCTACCACAATGCCGTCGTCGGTTCCTTGTCTCTTGTATCTTTAGCTTGTCTTGTTGTAGTTTGGGTTCAATTGATGGTCAAATCTCGGGTTTTGGTTTGAGATCTAGAGATCCTGATACTATCTCTTTAGGAGAACTTTCAGATCTGGTTTTGGATCTAGTCTTTCTAGATCTAAATTTTAAGAATGAATTTGGGGTTCCTTCTTTAGATAGTTGTGTTTATTTTTATGTCTATGTGGTCTTGAGCATGTTTGGAGTGTTGCAGCGATTTGGCTTTGGAGGGCTTCGGTCTCGGTGGTTTTGTATAGACCTAAAAGGTGTTAACTAACAATTTCCAAAAAGCTAGTACTAACAAACTAGTGCGTTTTGACGCTATTAAAAAAAGTAGATACAGTGTACATTAAACTATTTTGACCATACTCTATCGTAAACAAGATTTTAAAGATGTTT